TTCTGAGGAGTGTCCGTTTCAATCACCTGACTCTTTAGTTCGGTAGTAAACTGCTTCACTTTCTTTTCCTGAAAGCCGCTGAGGGTTTCAGCACTTTGCAGCTTAGCCTTCAGCTCCTACACTTCCTTTTCAAGAGCCTCCTTCTCCTTCTCCTGCTCCCTGACCTTGTCCTGGTGCCATTCTTTGAGCTGGGTGAGTTCAGTTTGGAGGTCGTGACTGACCTCCTCTTCAGCCTGGTGCTTAGTGACCAGCTGCTGGTTGTTTGAGACCCGTTCATCTTTCAGGTCCTCCAAGTCTTTTGCAAAACATCTTCTCTTTCTCAGAGGCGTTTTTCTGCAGGGGTCTGGATCTCCTCCTCCATCTGGTGAATCAGAGCGTCCTTCTCAGCCATCAGCTGCTTTGTGGCCTCCAGGTCCTCTTGACATCTTTCTGCTTTCAACCTTGAGCTCATCTTCATTGCTCAGGTTGGGCTGATGTTTAAGTTTCAGCTGCTCAAGTTCTTGCTGGAGAGCTGCATTTTTTTCTCTCTCAAGCTGGAGATTCTATAAGATGAGAGCAGATGTAACTTACCTGTTAGAATCTCGTTACAATCCAGGCTGCTCTGAGGTAAGATGGCCGACAGAAGTCTGGTGTCACTTCTGCTTCTGAACGATTCCATTTCCCAAAATGTATTTATAAACCAATATCAGAAATGTTAACTAATTGAATCTGGCTTGTTTCACAGCGAGCCATATTCTAACCATATTCATGTTTTAACTGATTCAATTGAATTGTTTTCAAAATGAACAGATTCATGCTAATTTTAAGTAATTTGAATAAATATATTAAATTAGATGAAAATACTTACTAAACTATGCCAGGATTCATTGTTTTAAGTGTCGGGTCATTTATTCAGCATGGAAAATGTTCCTTACAGCTCAGGCTAATTTATTCGACTTGCATTATTATTATTTATTTAGTGGTTCAGTGCGAGCATGCCAAATTCAAATGAAATCCAATAATGCCACTGTTGGCACTAATCCCCCCCACACACACACTTTGCCTATCATGCCGACACAGGCAGCTCGACACAACAGAACTCAGATGGAAAGGCTCCTATTCTTGTCTCAGCTGACGGGTTTCCTCAGGAGGCCACTTATCATGTTTGTCCTGACATTCCAGAAGCAAACAATATGGCGAGGAGGCAGAAATAAGCACGCTGTAGTGAAGTGTGCTGCTTCACCTGTATTTCTAAAGGCAGATACATTGATTTAAACGATTTTTCTTGGGGGATATACTTATTGGGAGGCCTCTGACATATCATGTCAGAGGCCCATAAATATTCCACCTTTGGCTTAAAGGGGCAATGTTTATGTCCAGAATTTTAGTTTAAAACATGAAAACCAAAAATGACTTGACATTACAGTGTTGACGTTATGTCAAAGACGTCTTTGTACTGGCCCTTTTCACAACAGCCATTTTGACATGTAATTACAGGGTAAACACAGGTGTGGTTAAAAAAAAAAAAAATGATTCCGGCCCTGTTTTCATTTAGGTGGGCTGGGGCCCTGGTATTCTGCATGCTGGCTCACTGTAATGGCTGTGACGCTCAATAGAATGGGACCTTTATCAGTTTGATCAATTACACCTGTGCTTACCCTGCAATTACTTTTCAAAATGGCTGCTGTGAAAAGGGCCTATTGTGTTGCAGAGGGATCTAATGAAATGAGCATGCTAACCAGTTAGCCCCGGCATGTCCTATCTTGTAATACCACTTGGAGCTGGAGTGGCCCATCATGCTGCTGCAAGTGCTACGACTTATTGTCTTATTATTGTAATGATATGTATGGTTCTTCCGGCAGCTCTAAAGCTCACTAATCAATGCATTATATCTTGTTTGTTAAACCCCTACAAAAACGGAGGTGCAAAAAGGACAAGGTGTCGGACTATTTTTTCCCTGTGAGAATTGACTTCTTCCCTCAATTTTACACTCATTCACCCGCCACTCATCTGAGAAGCTTCCCCATTTCTAAAACTCATGAAGTTCAGTTACTTTTAACTTCCTCATAGTCACATGAGCTTGGTGACTGAGAATTCAGAGACACTTTTAAAGTTATTTTTTCTCTTCACCATTTGAATAGGAGTACTACATCTTATCGTCAGAGGCAATTTAATTTAATGAAACTCTATAATTACTTCGTATTTCAATGCAGAGCTATATTTGAGATCGCACCCAGACCGCATTATGTGGTAACGGCACTACCGCCAGCCAAAACAGCTCCATAGGAAATATAATTTAAGTGCCTACATAAAGGGCATGCCAGTGATTCATCCACAACTCTAAAGACGATGGATGAACTAACTTCGAACTGAGAACGGCATGTTCTCTATAATGGAGGAAACTGATGACTTTAGATGCCAACTTTGAGCTTCATGACATGCGTGTAATTTCTTTTTCAACATAATTCGACAATATATTAGTTTAAGATTAAAGCTGAACACAGAGGAATTTAATTAACTCCATTTAAATTCCAAACATGCCATAGTGTAACAGTAGCATGTAGGTGGCAGTTTTAGGAGCTACTTTAGAAACTATATAATTTTCAGCATCCAGGGCTCATTGAACTTGAATACAGAAGCATTTACGTTGCAACGAATACACAGTAATAGCTGTTGTGGATCAGGAAAGAACTTAATGTTGGAATAACATGCACGTGGAGGCATATACACACTGTAATGTGGAGAAGAAATACAGCTTTAATAGATGTGACTGGAGCGGAGATGGATGAGCTAAATCAGTATGAAAGTAATTGCTGAGGATTAGACAGATTATTCTCGCTCTGTCTGCCGCTTCTGTGTGCAATTATACCGTCACACTACACTTTCAACATGCGTGCACACAACATGATTATATGGCAGCAAGGTCCTTTTTTTTTTTTCCTTTCACCTGAGACAAGTACGCTTAATCCATCCTAATTCAGTTTTAGTTATAGTGCTGCAGTCAGGACATTTCTCATCAGGCACAGGGAGAATTGAATGTGTTCATTGTGATCCAGGCATCACCCCGCGAACATGCAATCGTGGTCTGGTTGATATTACCAGCCGTGCAACGGTGTCATGTCTCTGTTTCATATCCTGAATCCCGTCGCCGAGTGTCGTAAAGGACAGCAAATATTGATCCTTCTTCTGTGGTACATGGCGGCGCTCACATCTCAAACAAGTCTTTGTTTCTGATAACGTGGCATCAGTTTGGAAAGGTCAACATTTTGTCAAAATGGCAACAGATAAGATAATCTTGGAGCTGCCCCCAGACCTGACTTATATTGAAACATTATATAACCAGTTATAATTATGATGCCTCTGCCACAGTGTAAAGAAAACACAGGATTTAATGAGGACTGCACACTTAACCACTGTTGCGTGCTGAGAGCAAAGCCAAAGGAAATCCTGATGGATAAAATAGATACCTCTACAGTAGTCAAATCTATTGAAGATGCATGCATTAACAAGTGTTTTTAAATCCTGCTGAGTAAGAAGTCCTTTAATCTTTATCTTTGATAATAAGGTGTTTTATGTCTGCAAAAATTTTAATTGGTACTCAACTGATTCAGAATCACCAGAGAGCATCTGCCATTCAGCACAGTGTACCTCTACGTGATATTCTCACACTTATTATACTGCATCTCTACCTGGTCATACGCCTCACAATCAACTATAAAACCCCTCATATAACCAGTCAATGGAAATTATGGATGAAAAACAATGAGGTGGCACCATTGTCACTTCTTAAAAAAAAAAAAAAAAAAAAAAAAAAAATCCGCTTTGAAAGCCTCATAAGCTATTTCAACTTAAAACACTGTTAGCACTGAGTTACTAGATTGCTGGCCCATTCCAGGTCGATACTGTTACTGCTGTACCCATTGATCTGTTCTCAGCTGCTGGGAGACATACTGACAGAAACACACCCCTCCCTCCAGGTGACCAGTGGATCTGGGCTGAGAAAAGGGAAAGTGTCTTTTAGCAAGGCAGCAGGCATAACCTGATGAGAAGAAGGTCAGGGCTCTTTGAAACATATCCTCCGCACAACCCTGCTCAGAAAATGTTTCTGCAAACTCTTGTTTGCAACCGTTCAGATTAACGTACACCAGATAGATTTTTGAATTGGAACAACAGCCCATTAACACTTTCTCCTCAGAGAGGATTATGTTTGCCTGGCCTATAGCTTTCTGCATTTCCCTCACAATGTACTTCAATTGATCTGCTTTCCAGGAACACATCTCAAAAACCAAACCCAGTGGAACACAGCCGAGACAAGTAAGATAGACCTCGACAAGATCTGGGTTCACGCCTTTCAATTCACCAGCTGTCAAGCAATCCATCACAACTATGGTTAGAGCTGCCGAAAGAAAGAACAAAATTATAGTGATAAAAAGCATCTGTAATCTAAGCCAAAGTGGGAATATTTTATTTTGAGAGACACTGTTGATCATCCTCACAGCCTTTCTGTACTTCTCGTGGTCCTGAATGATCAGACGCAGTTGGTCTGGCACCTCCATGTCACTGAAATAACCACAATTCCATTTGTTGAGTCCCTCTTCATTGACAGCAGTCAAAGGCTGCAGGGCCTTCCCATTGTAGATAGAAGGAGGCTGGAAGGGCACCACAGTGGACCCTTGAAGCTGCTGGTTGGGGGTGCAGAGCACCTTGAGCAGCTTGTTCTTGAAGTCGGGGTCGTTGGCCTCTAGGTAGGTGAGGTGGCAGAGGTGGAGAGGAACAGGGACTCCTGGCTCCAGCAGCACTGGGACGATGGGTTTCCTCTCCAGGCAGTCTCTGAACAAAGACATGTTGGCCTCCAGGAGACACCAGCGGCTCCTCACAAACTCCTGGCTGAGAACCAGCAGGACCTTCTGGCTCTCCTGGATGCAGTCGGACATGTTTTCCAACACGGTGCGGCCGGGAGTGAAGTCCCGTTCATGGTAGCAGACCTGCAGGCCACAGGACTCCAGCTGGGTGATGAGGGAGTGGGTCCACTGGTAGTCGGTGCTGCTGTAGCTAATGAAGACATGGTAACACTCACCATCTCCCAGTGTGGGAAGATCATTAATAGAGGGAGACAGTGGGACAGCAGGCTGTGACACAATGTCTGCAGTCTGCAGTTTATTGGCTCCATTATCTATGAAAAAACTAAAGTGAGAAGAAAATAGCATTTAGAAATCCTTTCAGAAGATTTCAATTAATTCGTTTTTGTTGGTATATTTATATAGTCTATCAGCATGCTTCTTTAAACGAGGATATTACAGGTTTTGGATAACCCAAAAGTGACCTGCTTATAAAAGAACATTCTCAACAGAAGCAAATCAGCAAGTAAAACATCTTTTGAAAAAAGTTTCCTTTTATCACAGGTGGTTTAAACATAAAAAGTACAGTATGCAACAATTTCCTAAAAAAACAGAGAGCAGGCAGGCCACAGCAGGGTAAAGGGTGCTTACTGCTGCATTCATTTAGAATCTGGCACGTTATAGCAAATATGTGACAAAGTGTGGATGTCTTTACTTGTGCCTTAGAATGTCACCGCCGTGAAACAATCGGAAAATAACGTTTTACAGTTCTGAATCATGTCTTTGTTCTCACTAACCGCGGTCCCTCACCCCATTTCCTGTCTAATTCGCTCGACCACAGCTGCACGCTCTGGAGAGAGCTAGAGAGCAAGAGCAAAGTTAGAAATCTGTGTTTACAAACGGCAACCGACAATGGGATTACATATTATACCTTTAATTATACCTAAATCCACGTGTCATTAGTTTCTTCCTTCTGACATTCAGTAGTAAATTTATATCTTGTTCAGTTCTTACATTCAACTTACAGATATAATTTCAGAAAGCTTGACATTTCTCAAAGTCATCCTGATACTCCCACATATAAAATAGTACAAATGATTCTCAAACAAGTTTAGGTTTGTGGCAATCATGAGTTCTGTTACTAAAATTATGATTTCAAGTGAATCTTTGTCTGTCCGTCTTTCGGTGTGGTCTTTGCATCTCTCCCGAACCGCTCATCCAATCTACTTCACACTTGGTGGGAGTATTGCTGGGGACCCAACGAAGTGCTTTGCTGAGTTTGGTGCAATTTGGACAGGCAACACGTTCAATATCAAACTATAAACTTTGGGTAAACAAGCACATAGTGCTCTGTGCAGCTGCAGGAGCAGAGCTTAAGCGCTCTGCGGAATCATGCATGTCGTCTGCAGCTGCCAGACAGCGGCTGCTATCATTGATGGCAGTTCACTTTGCCTGCTCGATAAAGCCTGCTGAAGCTGGATTCTGGATAACCTTACAACTGAAGTTTTCTTCACTTCCCTAGAGTCAACGAGCATGAGCGGAAAGCCCACAGGAACAGCGCCACCCTTCCATTGCAACTCAAATTGTTCATGTTTTTGCCACTCTAATTTATAAGACTAATAACGTTGTCAGCACAATGTAATTATTATGTACTTAACTTCTGTTCAAGGTCGCGCTTTCAATTCTAAAATGATGCTGGATAGTTTAATGAATAATAATGCATCATATTTTAATTGTTATATTTCTTGAGTCAAATTTGGATTTGCAACATTACCAATAACATCTCAAAAGTGAAGTAAATGTAGTACTGCATTGTTTTCCTATACTACACTACACTATGTCCATCAAATGAAGTGAAAAATTTCAGCTGATTTCATGTATAACAATATACAAATCTAAAAAGTGTGATGTGACACAACTCACTGCAGAATAACCCATATTTAAGGAACTCAGTGCTACTCCAAATATACAGTAAGTAACGTAGTGGTGTATAAAGAAGTAATTAAATAAGCTTAATGAGTTATAAAGATCCATGATGTGTAAAAATAATGTACATAACAGACAAAAATGTTTATCTGTGAAGTTAAACATGCTAAAAACAACAGAATCCTACTGCTCTTTTTAAGAATGAAACCTATCATCACACTGAGGACAGCATACACTGCACAGAAATGTACATTCATACCTGTTCATGATACAATAAATTCCAGCAAATTTAATGAAGAGTGATCGCACAGTGTGGATGATCAAGAACTGAAAGTAAACTCAGGAAGAAAAGGGTGCCAAGCATCCGCACTGTTCCGCTTTCAGGTTGGTTGAAGTGACAGCCTCCGTCCTGATGTCTGAGGGGCTTCTAACATCAATTAAGTTACTGTGCCTTTAATGGCTCTCGGTCTCGCTCGTATTAGTCCGACATTACATGTTGACTGGGTGAGCTTTGATCTAATAATAAAGACAAAAATGTAGACATTGCTATTCCCATTGATCTGTTCTCAGCTGCTGGGAGACATACTGACAGAAACACACCCCTCCCTCCAGGTGACCAGTGGAGCTGCGAGAAAAGGGAAAGTGTCTTTTAGCAAGGCAGCAGGCATAACCTGATGAGAAGAAGGTCAGGGCTCTTTGAAACATATCCTCCGCACAACCCTGCTCAGAAAATGTTTCTGTAAACTCTTGTTTGCAACCGTTCAGATTAACGTACACCAGATAGATTTTTGAATTGGAACAACAGCCCATTAACACTTTCTCCTCAGAGAGGATTATGTTTGCCTGGCCTATAGCTTTCTGCATTTCCCTCACAATGTACTTCAATTGATCTTTTTTCCAGAAAATAATCTCAAACATCGAACACAATGCAACACAGCCGAGACAAGCAACAAAGACCGTCCCAAGATTTAGGTTCACGCCTTTCCAATAACCAGTATACAAAAAAATTACCGCTAATGTGGATAGAGCTGTGAAAAGGGAGAGCAAAATTGTATTGATAACAAGCATCTGTAATCTAAGCCAGAGTGGGACCATTTTATTTTGAGAGACATCATTGATCATCCTCACAGCCTTTCTGTACTTCTCGTGGTCCTGAATGATCAGACGCAGTTGGTCTGGCACCTCCATGTCACTGAAATAACCACAATTCCATTTGTTGAGTCCCTCTTCATTGACAGCAGTCAAAGGCTGCAGGGCCTTCCCATTGTAGATAGAAGGAGGCTGGAAGGGCACCACAGTGGACCCTTGAAGCTGCTGGTTGGGGGTGCAGAGCACCTTGAGCAGCTTGTTCTTGAAGTCGGGGTCGTTGGCCTCCAGGTAGGTGAGGTGGCAGAGGTGGAGAGGAACAGGGACTCCTGGCTCCAGCAGCACTGGGACGATGGGTTTCCTCTCCAGGCAGTCTCTGAACAAAGACATGTTGGCCTCCAGGAGACACCAGCGGCTCCTCACAAACTCCTGGCTGAGAACCAGCAGGACCTTCTGGCTCTCCTGGATGCAGTCGGACATGTTTTCCAACACGGTGCGGCCGGGAGTGAAGTCCCGTTCATGGTAGCAGACCTGCAGGCCACAGGACTCCAGCTGGTTGATGAGGGAGTGGGTCCACTGGTAGTCGGTGCTGCTGTAGCTAATGAAGACATGGTAACACTCACCATCTCCCAGTGTGGGAAGATCATTAATAGAGGGAGACAGTGGGACAGCAGGCTGAAAACAACTGTCTGCAGTCTCTGGTGAATACATTAGCACCATAATCTAAAGAGAAGACAGTGATAACAACATTACAAGAAGTATAAATGTCCTACAAGCATACTCTTTACCATTATCGTACAGCTACTTAGTGTATTTAAAAGTGAAACACAGTGCAGTGTGGTTATATATGAGATATTTACTACCCAAGAGGATAGACGAAAAATGTAAGTTAAGATAATCACAGGCGCTGAAAAACACATCCACACCTGTAAAATCTATTTAAAATATTTGTCAGAGAAGCGTTTATCCAACGTAATGGTAAAGTAAATTGCCTTACATGTTACCGTATTTCTTTTGACAGACGGGTTCACAAAAATGCTTTTTGATTGAATTTTATTATGCATTTTATTGTCACGTTTAGGCTTTGCCCTCTGTGTTCCTGCCTCTGTGTGAGCGTGTTTCCTGATTGCCCTCATTCACTACACCTGTGCTCAATCCCCTGCCCCTCGTTTTTCCCTCTGCCAACCCCACACATATATATATACTCCCCTGCTTTCCCTATTCTGGTTGTCAGATTGTACTTTGTTCCTCCCCGTGTGCTCATCGTGTTTCCAGAGTTTTCCCTCGTGTTTCTCTACGGTTTGACTTTGCTTTTTTTCCCGTTTTTTTATTTTTTGCTCGCTCCCTGTTGGAGTCGTTTTGAGTTCCTGTGTATGTCTGTTTGGTGCAAAGTAAAGAACCTTGCTCTGCACCTCGTCTCCAGTGTCTGTGTCTGTGCTTGAGTCTTTGCTCTACCCCGGAACCATCACATTGTATGCTTGCAAAAGCATAAGAAATAACTACTTCTGTTTTTCCAATATGGACAGCTTTGGAAATAATGCATGAACTCACTAGACTGATCCTGTCTGCCAAAATCGACACACATTAAGACATATATATCCGTAAGGGTTGACCGGATATAGCAAAAACCTCTCAGTAAAACACAATGCAGCCTCCAAAATGAACACGTCTTAATTCATAACCATTTAAAACGGTTTCAACAGAAAGTGAATATTAGAGTTCAGATATTGTTCAAGTCAATTTTCTCAATACTTTCCCCTACAGTTGAATTTGGACAAATCATTATTTGTTTAAAAGAATAGATGTAGTCTCATACCTGCAGATAATAAACTCGTAAAGCAGTGCAGCAATCGGTCACCAACAGTTGTATCAGGAAGTTGAATGGAAAAACACTGCTCTGTTGTGAGTTTTAATGAAGGCATATAGCCTACTTTTATTGCCTTGGACCAATGCCTTTATAATGTGGGTGCGGTAGGCACAGTGACTGTACCTTTAATGACTAGGACTATGGTCCAACCTGTCCGCCTGGCTGATTAGGGTCCAACCTATCTAGGGTTGCATATTTTACATTTGAAAACACATTGTACGATTTATTATCACCTTAGAAGCCTGATGTTGTAGTACACAACAGTTTACAACACAATGATGGTACTATACAGCTTTCTGAAGTGTCAACACTAGTTTATTAGTACACAAAGACTGACACACACACACTTGTGATAGAATGTTGAGTCCTTTCCTTGTTTAAATCATACTTGGAATATGACATTTACATTTCGCATAGATACCCCTGGTTATTTAGCTCCTTACATATATGACATTTTTCAGGTTTTGTCTGCATGCAAGTGTGACTTCTTTCTTCAAATCTCAGCCACTCAATTTTGTTCTGGCTGATATGAAATCAGTCTGGTTTTGGCTGCCTTCACACTGCTGAATTTATCACTGTTGGAGTTACTCTTACAGAGAGTTACAACACAGTGTAACCTCAACTCTACCAGTGTGAGACTTCCACTCACGTTCAAATATGTAGAAATACATATAAATTAGGTCCGATTATGCCAGAAGTTTAAATGTATAGGTTTATAGAATTATTTCAAAGGCTTGATTAGGTTGCTTTTTGTGTTGTAAGAGTGACCCTTTAGGAGCACTGAGATTTTGTCTAGGCTTGTTGGGTAGTAGCTCATCAATTCTGTGTTATTTTGACTTATTGCTCACGGGCCAATTCTTCTGCGGTTGATGAAGTGAACTGTTCTTGTTAAATGGCTGTACATTGACCAGAAACGGCTGCAAACTTCTAGAGGACAGCCCAAACTTAGCTCATATTAAAAAAGAAACCCTCATGATTCACACTCTCATAGTGACTCTAGAGAGTAAGCCAATAAAGATCGATAAGCAAGGCCTGTCTGTTTCATTGACCTAGGGCCCTTTTAATATCTTTGAGGTATTGAAAACCGAGGGGAATTTCATTCATCAAAACCACCTGCCTGTCCCAGCTGACATTAAAGAACAATTTAGAGCATAGAAAATGAAACCGTGCCATCTCTCTCCTCTGACATTTGTTCACAAATTAGGTTCTACAGATCATTACACAAAGACACAAACAGAAAATATGAAAGTGCTTGGCCTCAGGGGAGTCTTTTTCCCCCCTACTTCCTGTTCAGCAAGTGTTTTCATGTGGACTGGTGACCACTTCTAATCTTTTGGTGACAGAACGAAACAAGGTCCCCAAGGCAGAAAGGGAAAGCTGCTCTAACAATGTAATGTAGCTGTAATCGGGACCAACATCTGGTGCTCTCCTGATGCGCCCAGGCTGGAGGAGCACTGAGCGGACATGATGCTGAACCCTTTAACACCCTTCACTCAACCCAACTACAGTAGGGAGATCAAGCTTATCAAAGGTCACAAAATGGAAGTGTATTGTGGACACCAGCCACACAGGGATTTTTCTTGGCTGTATTGTACATACATTTTGACAACCTACATACAGACTAGAAAATATTTGCATATAATTAAAGGAGAGTCTGGAGGGGATATTTTTTAGATAATGTACTACTGCTTTAAAGATCAATTGTAAGCCATTAACAGCAAATCTTTGGGTTTGCCAAGTATGAAAAATCCCTCCAGTATGACAATTTGTGTTTTTAACTCAGGAAGACCGCTTCAGTAGATGGATAAACTGCATCTTCTGAAAAATGTTTGTACAGAATCGGGAAGAATGTCAAGGAATGGTATCGTTTTTTTCATATTCCATATGCACACAATTGTGCCACGTAAAAAGCAGCTCCACAACTACATGATATTTGAGACATTAAGATGTAGTGGACTAATGTCTACCTGAGCCTTTTAGTGCATGTTAGTGCATGTGAGCGTGCCGCACTGGCTCGCTCACGGCCGCCACTCTGCACTCCTATGGCAGTCACAGCTGATCCTGATCGTGGAGAATAGAGGCCATCCTTCAGTTCTCCTTCAGGTAAACACTGTTAGCACTCTCAGCACTGTTGCCATGGTTTGCACTGTTAGCTGCGAGCCGCATGCTTAGCCGTCGCCATGTTTAGAGCCTTTTGGAAGCGATATGTGCTGAATTCTTTCATTTAGCCCCTTTAACAAATTCAAGAAATGGGTTCTTCCTACAAGACAGTTCATCTGAGGAGAGTGGATCAAGTATCAAGGTTGTACATGAATAAGATCTGAGTTTACACTTTGAGTAAACTGAACCAACAATCTGCAGCAAATATTTCCGAGTCATATTCTACACTGAAACAATATTTTCACTTGCATTAACATATAAATCTCAGGTCCCACAGTGCAACCATTATTCATGCAGTAATTTTTCACTGTGACAAAGACATTGAAGCTATTTATTAGTTGTGCCAGATTTAGGACCGGTATGGGTAATGACAAGACTGAATAGGCAGTGGAACATTATGCGTGTGTGTCTGTGTTTGTGTCTGCTTCTTCAAGTTTAGGCTACAGAGTCTGCACTGAGAGGATGAAAAATGTAAATGGTCCCAGCTGCTTTTGTCACCACATCTACCTGCTGAATATACATTTTCATGGCTGCGGTGGTCTTCCTTTTTTTTTTTTGTACTAACTGAGACTTAATAATCTTGTCATGACTTGGCAGACATTAATGACCTGGCCATTAATGACCTGGCCAGCCTGTCATCATTAATATAATATAATGATCACTTGGGTGTGTGTCTGTTTGTACAGGCATGGTCCATATAGATTCCTGCTATATGCACATGCAAGCGTGACTGAGCGTTGAAATATCTGTTTAAAAATGAGACTAATCTGTTCACACATTTTTTTATGCTTGTCAGTCTGTCGGTCGGTCTATCCCCTTTGGTCCAGGCTGAAATATCTCAAAAACTTTTGCTGTAACATTTGTGTTAGCATTACTGTCGTGAGCATTTGCATTCAGCTATAAGCATTGCTGTGCCTAAGTACAGCAATGCTTGACCATGGACTCTTAATCCTTTTTAAGACAAACATACTATTTAAAAGGGAAAAATAACGAGAATATATGCACACATAGATGATTTTACAATATGCCACAAAAGATTTTGAAACGATTTACAGCAAATCTCCCTTTTCGTTTTGTCCGTGCAGTTTGAGGCTGTGAGGCACTCACACTGAGGTCACAGTAATGGTTTAAAGAGGCCCCCCCCCCCCCCCTATGGTGATAGGTGCAGAACATGGGTACTGCTAATACAGCATAGCTTCACTCAGATGAGCCAGATGGCCAGCATGAAGCACCTGACCCTTCTACTTTCTGGTTACAGACTGTCTGAGACTGCCCATGGTTTAAAGCCTTTATTAGTTACATGGCTTTATTAATTCCACTTCGTATTCCACTTGTTGTTCCAGTGATAAATATAGTTGAAGTGATAGTACGTTCTTTCAATATGCAGCTAAACAGATTACAAAGAGGTTAGACCAACTTGCGTCATCAGCATTGAGCTTTATGTGTACACGTGATGATAAGACTGCATTATCGTATCAAATCCCTTGACAAACACAATATATAATCACAGCTAATATTTAGCTTCCTCAATGCATAAACACTTGGCCCAGATCATAGAGATTATGATATTATTACTATTGATTTAAAGGATAATAGAACAAATCTCAGGAAGTTGGAGGAGCACTGTGTTCTATCTATACAGTTTACAATGATGGGATGTAGATAGATGAAAGTGGCATGCTGTTTTTTTTGTTTTTTTTAAGTGGATGAAGTAGACAATCTGAGAGCAGCAAAGGAAAAAAAGTCACCTCATAGACTAGGATCTTCTGAAGAAGATGTGGCAGGTTCCTAAAACAGTAGGGAAAGGCTTTTTGCTAGACAGTCAGATATGTATCTTTCTACAGCATGTCTGGATCGCTCTTTTTTAATCACATCAATTGTCTATGTGTGATCGACACCTAACTCCAGCCAAATGCAGACACTAATGCACTCACATTCATTGTCTAAAACCAGTAAACTTCCAGTACATAATCTCATTGACTGGTGTATCATATTGAGAAGTAAACCAAGGGCCAGTTTGATCTGTGACGTAATAGTGGTAGCCAGACATGACATTATGAAAGCTAATGAACACTTCTGCTTGTGTTTGCTCAGTGTTCCCATTTTGTTCATTGGCATATATCCTGTGCAAATGCATTTGGGCAATCTGTGTTGACACTGGGAATACACAGACGGGCGAGGGCATTGCTTACCCAGTTTTAAAAATAGGCATTCTGAGGGTGCCACAGAGAAGGACCACAGCACAGACAAGTCTTCAAATAATTCATGAAATGATGTCTTATAGCACAAATACAGTATCGTCCCCGTTCCATCACGGGGGAAATAATTATATACTTGTTACTGAAACACCATGAATGATGGATGAGTGTGAATAATTTTACTTTACTTAATTAATGGTGACTGTAATATTATGAAACAAAAAGTCCAGGTCTTTTCCCTGCCTGACAAGAGTCTAATGTATAAGAATATCCTTCAGACAAGCATCACTCCAGACTGTACAGCAGGAATCTGCACAGCATCCTTTTTTTTCTCTGTTGCTGCAATCATCAAGCTTCCAATATCTTCACATTTCCAGTTTAATCAAAAGTAACACAATCAAACTATACCTCACATATTTAGAAATACATCCGGCAGCATCATTTCATTGCTACATGCCAATTTCTTCTTTTCAGTCAAGTAGGATTGTATATCCTGGGAACAGATAATACAAGGGAATGTATTCTTACTGTTTACTCCTCTATATTTGTTTCTCTCAAAAAATGTAATTTCAAGTCCAATTTATATAAACAGACATTTGAAGTTGTATCATTAAGTGAGACGTATTGATTTATTGAACACACTTTCATCTGCTTTAT